TNTATTAATAATTATTATATAATAATTATTATTATAATATTATTATATAATAATATATATATATATATATATATATATATATATATATATATCCTTTTATACATATATTTATATGTATATATATTAAATTTTATTACATTTTACTTTATTTTCTAAGATATTAATTTATTTTTACATTATTACTTAATAATATTATTTACATATTTATTTATATATCTTTATAACCTAATTAACATTAATTAATCAACAAATAGCTTTAATTTATATTGATTTACTTCTTTTTTTTTAAAAAAAAAAAATAATTTGTTATTTATATAGAATAGGACATTATTTTTTAATTAAAATTTAAGAAAATGCTTTTTATATAACTTAAATAATAATCAAGAGTATAATTTATAAAACAATATAATTTTGAAAATCATATTATATTAATATTATTTTCTAACTATTTTTTTTATTTATTGTTTCTATTAAGAAATTTCTAATCTAAATTTTTTTAATTTAATTAATTATTTTAAATTATTTAAATACCAAATACCAGAATTTTCTATAATTAACATTTAAAAAAATTTATATTTTTTTTTTACTTTATAAAAAAATGTATCAATTATGTTATAAATTTATATATATTTTTGCTTATAATAACATTCTTGATATAATTTTTTTAAAGTAATAGTTATTTATTATTTAAAAAACAGATAAATTTATATTTTTAATTAAAATAAATAATAAGCAAATTTATAATTATTATTATAAAGTAAATATTATATTATATATTGTTATATATATATAGATTAACTAATATAAAAATATATATATATTATTATTTTAAATATAGTAAATTATAATTATTTATAAGAAATAATTAATTATTTATAACTATAATAAATTTCTAAATCTATTCTTAAAAACAAAATTAAATTGATATATATGAATTTTTAATCATAAAAACTTTTTAATTATAAAAATAAAAATAAAAAAAATAATAAAATAAAATATAATTAAAATAAATATAAACTAACAAAAAAAAAAAATGAATTTTAATTATTACTTTGTTGAATTATCCTTTTAAATAAAATAATATTGGTATAATACTAAGATAAATACATATTTTTAACAGAAAAAAACAGAAATTTTTTAAAATGATTTTATAATTAATAACAAATACATTATTAACCTTGCTAAAAAATATTAACATACAAAATTTGTATAGAATAACTTTTAATTTATTAATAAATATTAAGAAAACAAGTAAAATTGAATTTATTTTTTAAAGAAAAATAAATAAAATGTCCATTAAAATAATTTCTAAACATAATAATAAATAACAGATAATAATAAAAATATAAACAGGAACATTTTATATATATTTATTTAAATTTTTTAAAAATAAAATATCAAAAGCTTAGTAAATTTTTCATTTAAAATAAAAATAAAAAAAAATATTTGCAATATATATATATTTATGTATTATTAATTCTTATTTATTTTTCTTGATATTAATTAATATTTTTTTTTGTATAAAAAAATAAAAATATATAAATTATAAATATCATATTTCATATAATTAATAAAAAAATATATAAGAATAAAAAATTAATCTATATATATATTAATTTTATTTCATTCTTAATCTTAAATTTATTATTCGAGATTTACTTCATCATCAATCATATTATCTTCATTTTCACTATCAAATAAATCTAATTCATTACTTACTTTCAAATCGTCTTAAAGCTACTATTAATCCTAATTTAAATAAAGACTAGAATGATGATCTTTATCAATATTCTGCGAATTCTATAAACCAAACATTGAAGTTTTAACAAATTATGAATTAGAAGATTATTAAATAAATTAAGAATTAGATGATGATTATTAAATTAATGTACGAGAATATTCTCTAGTTTAAGCATGTTGTGATTATTTCTAAGTATTATAAAAACTATTTGATTTAATTTATTCGCTTTAATAATCTAAATATATATATATTATATTTATATAAATATATACATATACATATATAAATATAAATATATATAAATAATTTATATATATATTTTGAAATATATTTATATTATTTTTTTTTATATATATTATATTTTATATTTATTAATTTTATAACTTATATTATGTATTTATGGTAATTTATCTTAGTTTTATTTATTTGTTTAGAAAGCGTTAATTCTTGTATCCTTCATTTTGAGGTATTTTCTTTTATATTTATTTTAAATAAAGCCTAATTTAGCATAAAATCTCTTTAAATGTGGACAATTTTCTCCACATTTTGAATGTACTTATTTATATTTATTAAAATAATCTTTAAATTCTTCAAAATTAATATCTTCATCTCCATTTTTTCCCAATTAATTTCTTATATTTCTCATTAATTCACCCATTAACCCTCCTTTTTCCTTCATCCTTTTATATAAGGCTTATAATTATTACTCTTCAGTCATATCTTGGTCTATTACATCTAGATTATCTTCATCATCTTCATCATTTTTGTTTTTCTTGTTTAATTTCGCCTGTTTCTGCTCTAAAATCTCCTGTTATTTCTTCAATCTCTCTTCTTCTCTTTTCTTCCTCAACTCTTCCATTTCTCTTTTCCTTTATTCTTTCAAATTCTCCAAATTCCCACTATGTTTTCCCTATAAATCCTTTAATCTTGCCAAATCCTCATTTCCAACAATAAAAGGTTCTCCATTTTTAATATATTTCATTATTGCATTCGCTATATACCCTGCCTCTTCCTTCTTACACCCTAATTAAATTAACAAATACTCTAAATCAGCTTAATTAGGACTTTAAGTTTGTGTTTATTTATCATCATATCCCATTCTTTTAATAGTTTTGGTTACTTTTCCATTCGCATCAATAACAGTTTCTTCTACAGTCCCATCTTTATTAATAATCCTTTAAGTAATAGTTTTTTTACCATCTTTATCAATTCTGATCTCCTCAATTATTTCTCTTCCATCCTTATCTTTTTTTCTTCTAGTAATTATTCTATTCCCAAACTCATCTATCATCTCTTCTTCTATAATTTCGTTTCCATCAGCATCTCTATATACTTTTGTTCTGACTGTGTATTTCTTCCCGTCTGCGCCTGTTATTTATTCTTCAACTATTTCATTTCCATCTTTATCTTTATAAACTTTCCTTTTTACTTGTATTACGTTTCCATTTGCATCTAAACGAGTTTCTTCGACAATTTCCTTATAAATATATTTTTTATTTATATATAAATATTTTATACGTTTCCGTCTTTATCTTTAGTTATTTTTTTAGTTATTTAAACTAATTTTCCTGTTTTTGGGTCTATGTAACTTTCTGTTATTATTTTATTACCAAATTTATCTGTGGTAATTACTTTTGTTGTAGTTATTGAATTTCCATCTTTATCAATTCGTGTTTCTTCTATAATTTCACGACTTTTATATCATATGTATATATATATATATTTGTATATTATATTATTTTTCTTTCTTTTTTAAAAAAAAAACAAAAAATAACCCGTTTTCATCTATTCTTTTTTTTATAATAACTCTTTCTCCAGTTAAAGGATTATACCTTTCTTCTTCTACAGTACCATCTTTATTAATTTTTTTTCGAATAATAATCCTGTTGCCATTTGCATCAATTATTTCTTCTTCAATAATTTCATTTCCATCTTTATCGAACATTCTTTTTATTTTCTTTTTTTTTTTTTAAATAAAAATACAAAGTTAATTTTAAAAAAAATAACTTTTGTTATTTTATTTCCAAACTCATCTACAGTTTCTTCAATAGTGACTATATTTCCATCTTCATCTACTATTTCACGTGTATATTTTGTTACTTTTTTACCATCTGCGCCTATTATTTCTTCTACTTTTATTTTATTTCCATCTTTATCTGTTATATATTTTGTTTTCTTAGTTATTTTATTCCCAAATTCATCTACAGTCTCTTCCACTGTTACTTAATTACCATCTTTATCTATTTCTTATTTAATATTTTTTACTATTCTATTTCCTTTTTCATCATAAGTAATCTCTTAAATGATAGGTTTTCCATCTTTACCTATAGTAATTATTTTTTCAGTCTTTTTTTGTTTAAAAAAATTCAAATTAATATTTTTTTATTTTATTATTTTTACAATAGTTTTTCTTCCATTCTTATCTATTTTTTCTTCAGTTATTATTTTTTCTCCGTTTTTCCCTATTCTTTCAGTTACAATAGTACGTGTTCCATCTGCATTTATAGTTTCTGTGACCCAAATATCATTTCCGAATTCATCTTTCATTTTCTTTTTTTTTCTTTTTTATGAAAAAAAAAAAAAAATATTTTACTTTTTTACGAACAATAATCTTATTTCCAAATTAATCAATTATTTCTTCTTCTATATATTCATTACCTATATTTTTATTTTTATTTTATTTATCTTTTTTTATACCATCTTTATCTTTTAATACACGTGTTCTTTTTGTTATTTTATTTCCAAATTCATCAGTTGTTACTTCTTCTATTACTTCCTTTTTTTAATTATATTTTTTTATAAAAATTAATATAAAATAATTTTACATTCCCATTTTTATCTTTATAAACTTTTTTTTATACAGTAATTAATTTTCCAGTTTTTGGATCAATATAACTTTCCTAATAAATATAAAATGTAAATAATATAAAAAAATAATTACAGTGATAATCTCATTTCCATCTTTGTCTTTTCCAACAACCAGTTTTTTAACTCTTGTTTATTTATTACCAAACTCATCAATATATTCTAAAAAAATATTACATATATATAATATTATATAAATATATATATTTATATATAAATATATATATATATATATATATATATATATATATATATATATATATATATTCATATTCATATATATATCTAAAATACCTTCCATAACTTCATATTCTTCTTCCCCTTTCGCATTTTTAACCATTCTAACTTTATTTCCATTCTAATCTATAAACCATTCTCCTTCTTTAATTTACTATCCGTTTTTCGCCATAGGTTTTCCCGGTTTTTAGGGTAATATAAACTTCGACCCTCCTATTGCTAACCCCCCATGTTAATTAATAAAAGCCAACATAGAAGGATCTGTAATAATTCCTTCTTTTGGTTTTTCTCTTGTCATAATAATATTTCCATATTTATCTACACACTCTTCTTCGACTTCGATTTCCTTAAAAATATATATATAATTAAAAATAATATATACAAACCTCTTTAACCCATTCCCCTTTAGAATTTAAAGTTCTAATTTTCTTGTTAATTTTTTAGTGATAATTTTCTAACCATCTTCTAATAAATTAGGATCAAAATCTGCATCATAATTAGGATTAGCTCTCATGATTTTTTTTTATTTTACTTCCTATTTAATTTTCTTAATTAAAGCGACAGTGTCTCCTATAACGCTTTTAAAAAAAAGGATCTTTGAGCATTTCATTATCTATTTTACTCATATGTTCTAATTCTTTAATATTTAATCGTTTAAAAAAATCCAATGTGAAAAGGTCATGTTAAATTCGAGTTCATGATAAATTCTTTGAATTTTTTTATGTTATTTTTATTTTCCTATTCTATTATTTTTATCTCGTTGACTAAATCTTTCAGTTAAAATTTCATTCGAATGTTTTGTTCTAATAAAAATCGAAATATCTCTTTGTATTTCTCGTTTATTACTATTTTGTTCTCTTTTTTTTCTTTCTTGGCTTACTCTTCTCGTTTTTTTTAAATGTAATTAATTTCGCTTATTTTCTCGTTTAGTTTTTATTCTATTCTTTATATATATCAGCGTGTAATTAAACATGTAACAATTTTTTCTCAAATTCCGACATTTTACTTACTTTTAATTTGATTTCAATATTAAATTTATCATATTTTTCAATTAGAGAATCTTTTTCAATCTAAGTATGAATTTAAAAAAGTTTTGAATCTTTTAAAATATGACAAGATGGTGTTAAAAAAATAAAAAGAAACATTTGCTGATTATTTAAATTAATTTAAAGCTTCAATAGCAGAATCTAATAATAGTTATTATGATTCTTTTTAATGTTTAATTAAAAAAAAAATATATATATATATAAATATATATATATATACATATATATATATATAAATATATATAATATAAATATTTATAGATCTATATATATTTTTATATATTTTTATTATTTATATTTTACTTTATTATGTCCTTCCTTTTTTCAAATATTAATCTTTCATCATGCCTTTTTATTTTTATTTAGCTATTAATTTTTTGTATCAAAATTATTAAATTTACTATTTTTAAGAAAAAAAAAAAATTATTTATTTAGATGAATCATCGATTTCTTTTCTTAATTCATCTAATTCATTTTTATTTTATAAATATTGATTAATCATTTTCTATCTTAATTATTTAAATTAGTATCAGTTCCTTTATCTGAAAATACCTTTATAATAAAATATCTGATAAATATTTATTAAATATATTTAATTCATACTTTAGGAATATAATCTTATTATATTCTTTGAATTGGTTATTTTAAACCTTTGTTAATTTTTTATTTTATTTCTTATTTTATTGGAACTTAATATCTTTTATTACTTAAGTAGATGAATTTCTTCTTTTTCCTTTTTCGCTAAATATCTAGATTTTCTAGTAGTTAATTTGGATTAATTTCTATATTTGCTTTCATTTTTAATAATACATTTAATAATGTATTTTTTCCTAAAAATATTATCTATATTTAATTCCCGAATTAGTCTAGTTTTAATTCTGTTAATTGGAAATTAATTCGCCTAAAATTAGTTAATATATATCATGCGTCTTTTTTTAATAAAAAGTATATTATTATTATATTATTTTTATTTCATTTTTTAACTTTTTTTAATATTTCAACAAATTATAATTTATTTTAATCATTTGCTTTTTTCTATATATCTGCATCTACCCCTTATTATCTTTTTTTCGAGTTTTTA